TTCCCTTGGGTTCCTAGTGGAACATAGAGCTTCAACTGCACGTCTCCACTTGCTTCTGTCTTCTGCTGTACTTTTCACTTGCATCCATGTTAGTCCATACTGTTTCAACTCCTCTTCACACGATCTCCTCCATGCCACCCTTGCACGTCCCACTCGCCGCTTCTCTTTCGGGTTCCACTCGAGCACTGGCCTGACGCGCGATGTCACCCAGTGGCTTCCTCAGCGAGTGTCCAATCCATCTCCACTTTCTCCTGCATATTTGTTGGGCGATTGGTTCTTGTTTTGTTTGTTCCCATAGTTTCTCGTTGGTGATTCTTTCCGGCCATCTGATCTTCAGTATAGAGTCAGCGAAGACAGTTGTTGTTGATAAAGGTCTGCAACAGGCTGTTGGAAATATTCTTTGTGACCCGCTGGCCAAGTTTCTGATCCGTATAGAAGAACTGACTGAATTGACGTTTGTATTGAAAATCCGAATTTTGTTGTTGATGCAGAGTTGAGTGACGAAGATTTCCAGATTGGTTTCAGGTGGATGAATGTGTTTCTCACCTTCTCGATTGTTGATTTGACATCCTTGTCCGTTCCTCCTGTAGTTGAGACAATGCTCCTCAAACTCAACTTGGTCAACTCCGATGATCAAGACTTCCCACAAGAACTTTTCAGTCATTCTCTAACTGAATTCAAATCTTGATTAAAATTGTGATAAACGGCTTAACTGACTGAAACTCTATTTCAACTATTTTGAAATTCATAGAACTTAGAACAGCAGGAAGGCTTTATTCTGCTTAAAAGTCGTAGTATATTTAGATTCTTACCTATTTGTACTGGTCTTAGATCTTAATGGGAATACTCTTAATTACTGAAATGCAAGTTCCTCGAAACAAAGAGTTTTATGTGAGACGAAACTACCATTTTGGATTCCACTGCTAGTCACTACCAAATTAGTAGTTTTTAATTTAGTTATTTAAGTTTATTCGATAAATAGTATTGAATGTGTGAAAAAGTCAGATATTTTAATCATAACTGAATGTGCTGTATTGACGAATATGATGTGTATACTACAAGTCCATCATTTTGTTTTTCAAGTGTTGATTCCCAGGGGTTGATTGATTTCGAGTTTGTTCATGAACTATCTACGGTTACAGAATCACTGAAACCCATGAAATGCTGAACAGCTATATCCTCCTGGTTTGGGTCTCTTCACCTGTACGCAACTATGCCCCCACCTTAGATCAGACGGAAGATCTTTACACTATTAGATAATCCCGTTGACAATCCAGCTACTAGGATGGAACCCAATCGTACATGAACTGTAACTTCTGCTGATTTTCGACATAAAGAGCAACCACCACTAGGACGAAACAGCTGTCCAATGCTACCTGGTTTTCAGTGATTATCTAACTAAAGTCAAATCAATTACATCCCTGCAAACCAATACTTAAAAATTGATTTGACGCTCACCAGTTACCTGAAATTCTAGTGAGCAATCGTGGTCAGCAGGATTCACTAAGTTGGATTTCAGGACAAACACTCACTGATGACACTGACTGGTGGTTGGGCTATATATCGTATCCTGGGAGAAGTTGGAACTGATTGGACAATGAATTCTGTACCAGCTGGTTATGCCACTAAAGCACCTGTGAAAATGTGGATACTTTTCTCAAGTTACTATAAGTAGTATATAATTAAGCTAGAAATTTGTTGTAAGTAATTACACTAAGTAAGTAATACGAATACACCATGAATACACGAGCATTAGCATCTCATTCGAACTATTTGTGTTAGTGGGTTCTTTGAGCTCGGTGGTTTAGTTATGAAGTTTTAATTGTGATCCTAGATAACGTTTCAAGGCACAAATTTACCGTGATAAATTTTTTGTCTTTCAGCTACGATATTATTGTCTTCGTGTAACAATCGCAAATCAAGACCATTGAGGTAAACAGAAATTTATCCAAACGGGAATAGACAGCAGTGGCGTTATATCGAGAAGCTGTGAAGTTAGATACTGCGAGATAAAAGGTTTTGACCAAGCCTTCGAAAAGTAATGGGCTCACTCTGGTTATGTAATCTTACCCTCAAGTAATAACTTTTCAGTGACATTTGGTTTATAATGCTTTACTGGCTGTCGCTGATTTCGTCATATCCTTCTTGCTCACAAGATACTTCTTGGCCTAACGTACTGTGGTGAGAGCTGGCTGCTAGCCAAAGTTGGTAGACAGTAATTGACGTCAATGTTTATGTCCCCAATATTGGTGGTGAGAAAATGAGAACAAAGGCCTTGCGTAGGCGGATACAGTTAGCATATGGATGATCTGACACAGCCACAAAGAGACGCAAGGTTAACTTTCTGTGAGAAACAACCAATCAAAAGACTGTATTTTCTACTAACAATGATCTACAATAATGTACATGAAAATCTATAAATATGCGTTGATTTTCCCTAATAACGATCTGTTGCCTGACCCTCGTCTTCTGTTTTTACAGTGCTAGTTTTGTATGAGCGTATTTTCTGTCACTGGTGTGACAAAAGCTGACAGCCATTGTTATTCCGTAGTAGAACTAATTCGAGTAACAGTTTCTGTAGTTCACACACCTTAGTTTCTGTTTTTTTTCCTTCACGTTCCCCAGTGGAACATAAGGCTTCAAGCTTGTGGCTTGAATTTTCTGTAGCAGTGTTTATTTTACAGGATGGCGTTGCTAGCCTCATGCCCAACCTTTCCTCTTCACCAGCATTACTTCTGGCTTAGCGAGGTAAAGGAGTGCGTTGGCCGGGGATCGAACCCCGGACCATGTGCATGGTCGGCGAGTGTCCTAACTGCTGTGCCACTGACGCACAATTGTTTCTGTAGCTCTGTTATTCTCAATTACTTAAACTACAGATGAAAGATTGCATTTTTGAGGAGTTAGATGGCTTACAATGAAATAAGACAGTATAATTTAAATGATAAAGTTTTGTTAAAGAGAATTAGTCGTCTGAGTGAGAACTTACCTAGGTTAGGTATGCTGCGTGCATGTATCAAAAATTAATCAATCAATAATTTTGCAACAAAGAGTACGAATATATTAGCAGTAGCATATTTTTAGAATCTTGTTTCATCCAGCTGATATTTGGCAATATCTGTTCTGAGAAATGAAATTTAATGTTCACAAATACATCGTTTTGAGAGCAAGAAGTATTCTAAAGCCTATTAAAATAATATAAGTAGTACATTTCCTGATCTCCTTTTGATGATTAAAAGATATTCCTGGAGTTCTAGTGAGAAGTTGTGATCAGTGTGGTTCACCAGCTGAATAGTGATGACAGATACTCTCCGATGACATTGGCTGATGGTCACGTTAAAATCATGAATTGTATTCATAGGCCACTGAGTAGGGTCTCAGTAGCTGAATGATCTACGAGCTGGCCTTGTAAGTGGGAGGCCGTGGCTCCGAAACCCGGTGTGTGCGTACTGCTGATGGGCTCCGAACTAGAAATAAACAGCTACCCAGTACTCTCTGTAGTGGTTGTCAAACTGATATCAGTCCGTCATCAGAAACTTGAAAGATGTGACTGCTGGACGCTGACATATATTTGGGAGACATCAGTGTTGGAAAGTACTACAGCAATTAATCTGTGTTTACACTTCAGTCTAAACTTAAAACTATGATAGTAGAAGTGAACAATTCAAGATCAGTTTTCATAATGTATATGAGTCACAATTATTCCCATCCGAGAATAATAGATGGAAGCATGTTCTCCCGATTACACATAAAGAGGATATTATTATTAATATTATGATTATTATTATTCGTCTCTTGTGTTATTAATGGAACAGTAGAACTTCATCATTTCACTCTGTTCTCTGGAGTATCTTTTAGCTGGCTTCACGATCATCCATTAGTTCTCATTTTCTTCTGAAACGATCGCCTCCATTTCATTCTCAGATGCTTGACTTATCATTTCCCATCAGGACTGCAAACGAAGGCCTGCAGCGTGATGTCACTTGCCGGTCTTTTATTTATTTATTTTATTTTATTTTTTTTGATTGCAGCTTGATGCCACACCGTATTTTTGGTACAAGTATGGAATTTTCAGCATGGATATCGGTAGCCCAAATTTTATAGGCCGACCATAGATATCGGGTGTACGTCGGCAGGGGATTGAACCCCGGACCATTTGCATGGTCGGCGAGAGTCCTAACAACTGTGCCACCGACGCCCAATCCATTCCGATCACGATATCCCATTTATTCAATTCTATTGATCATGTTGCAGTAATATTTACTGTACAACACTGTGTGATCCATAATGGAGTTATACTCTACCCCTGTACTTTAACCTACTCGTACAGTGACTTTTGTATGTTACATAGGTATATATTGATTTGACATGAAGCCAGCTGTATATAAGCTTATTATACTCGTTTTCTGTTCACGCTGACGGCGTTGATAACCTTCTCAGTGCAGTATTTATGTTATTTAAGTGTTTTTGAGTACATTAGTGTAAACTAATGAAAATAATTTACTGAGGTAGAAACACTCGAAAATATTCTCCAACTGATTATTATTCAACATTTCTATGAGACTAAATAACTGGTTTCTTTTTCATTCTATCCTAAAAATATTCTGTATCATCGATTTTTTGGATTATCAAATTTCTGTCTGCCTGTGTTATTTTCTACAAGGCCATTCCGTTTTCCTCCCACTATAGTCTACTCACTTTCGGTCTGGGCTAAAACCAACTAGCCTACTAAAACATCCTATTGGTTAGATTAATTCTTAGGTCAGAAAAAAAAATAGACTGGTAACTAGAAGATACAATAGTAGGGGAAATGTTCTATATCAATATGGCAAAGTACAGCAAATCCATCCAGTTTTCCAACCAGAATGTTTCTGTGAATTTATTTGATTGACCATAAAATAAGTTTATTGAAGATCTGGTCAATTAAACAAATTATGACGAAGACTGTAGTATTTTTAGAAACTTTTTAGTTTCAAATAGCTACTACATTTCATCACTTAAAGATGAAAAAGGTAAGTACTCTTCTATTTTGTTAAGTTCTAAATGATATTTTTAGATTGGCATTTTATTTCCCCTACTACTTTTCATTAATTTCTATGGTACAGCACTGGGAAGTAATTATGACCAGTACATAGACAGATTGATAAATGATGGAAAATTGTACTATGATGATTATCTCCATGAGAATCCTGAATCAGAATCATTTTTAGAAAATCTATTTTCCTTAAAACATCCAATTTTTCAAGAAGATTATCCTGGAAATTATGAAATTAGTGATCGACAATGGAATGCATTTCTCAATGAAGTGAACCGTGCTAAAGCAGGCAGATTTGAAGAACCTTCTGTTGATAAAACAGATGATAATGAGTTAAATTATGAAAGGAAATCAGATTCTGCCTACGAATCAAATCCGAATGAAAATAATATTGCCAAAATGTTACATGAACCAGGATTAACAGAACGACGTAATGAAATAGCTTATCAAAATCCATTATGGGGAGAACATAAAGTCTCTGGAGGCTCTGGCGAGGTAGGACAGTGGATAGACTATGCTCTTCTCGGTGCTGGAGCACAAGATATTCTTAATAATGAATCATATGATAATTTTAGCTTATCAAATGAACTTGATTCTAGTCATATAGAATCTAAAGTTGATAATTTACCAGCTTATTGTGATCCTCCTAATCCATGTCCTATAAACTATAAGTCTGAGGATTTACCAACGCCTTGTGATCATGATATTGAAGATACAATAGAATTCAATCGTGAATGGATATTAAGAAAAATGCAGAATGGTGAATGTTCATGTGATAATGAACATATGGATAGTTGTCCAGTTGATTCTAATGAAAATGGATTTAAAACAAGTTTCTCAACAGAACAAAAGGCGAACGGAAAGGTGAGTACTTTTCGTAAAAAAACATTTTAAATTAAATATAAATTATTTTCATGAAAGACTTGAAGAAATGTAAGTGTATACAATGATGCATTCATTGTCAGACTATGAGAGGAGATTCACTTAAAGATACAGAGAAGTTCATCTTCAAAAGAGAAGATGGTTCCTGACAATCAATTTGTATATTTAAAATAAGCATTTAATACCAGATAGCTGTTCCACCCTTGTCTGAGACTCTTCTGCAGTGTCTGATCCTGTGATCCTTTTGGGTATAGAACCTTCAGGCCCTCAGGTCACTAGGTGACCCTGACGAGCATTCATGTACCGGGCTGGGATCAAATGATCCATAAATTTCAAATCCATTTAGAGTGGTATATGAAACCGCTGCCATTAAATGCCATCAGCTAGGATCTATCTATGATTACAGCCAATTTGGTGAGAACACTAGAAATTCCATCCATTAGTTAGTCACTAATGTTAAATCGTTCGTGACCAAATCTAATTACAAGTTAACCAGATCTCTAAAACTCAACACTTAAAAATATAATACTTCAGGTAACTATTCTCGGCACTCAGAGTGATTACAATATTTTGTCATTTCAATATTAAAAGGATTTATTTGTATACTATGGCATAAATACGTATTATTGTTGATTATTATAAAACCACGATTAGCATCTGATACAGGCAGAACTTTCTCTTGTTTTTTTCAGAATAAATTTCTTTGAATTACTTTCCTAGAGTTCACCGCACAACACCTTTTCAATTTCAGTCATTTTTCCGATATAAACGATCTGTTGGTCAGTGCTGAAAAGAAATATTTATTTATTTATTTATTAGCTATAATCTTTAAGTTATAAACTGTTCCGGTTCAAGACGAAAAGTGTCCACAAATAAATTGAGTACTTTAATAGAGACTTATCCAAAATTGACGTTACATAATGCCTAAAATGTATATGATTTCATCATGAGCTGACATTGGTTAGAGAACTATTGGAAAACCTGGAGTACTGGACAGCTGTTTCGTCCTAGTTTGGGACTCTTCATCAGTACGCACCCACCGGGGTTCGAATGTCGGTGAGATGCTCACTAGCGACTTGCCCTATTCAGGTAGGTAGTTACCTGGGGTTCTAGTGAAAAGTCGTGACCAGTAGGGTGCAGCAGGTCGGGTCTGAGGACAAGTACTCACCATGGATGACAGTGGCTAGTGGTCGCGCTATGTCGTGAATTGGCAGAGGTTAGAATTCATGGGCCATTGGATCGGGTCCCAGTGGCTTAATGGTCTACGAACACGTTAGCTTTGTACCCAGAGGGTGCTGAGTTCGAACTCCCTGTGGTGGGTGCGTACTGATGAAGAGTCCCAAACTAGGCTGACGAAACAGCTGCCCAGTACTCCCAGGTTTTCCAGTGGTTCTGTAACCAACGCCAGCTCATGATGAAATCCTGTAACCAATCAAATCCCTACACACCAACACTTGGATACCTAAAATGTATGTTGGATAGAATATGCCAGTACGCATAAAGCTGAAAGTTTCATCACGAAAAGAGATTTTGTTAAACAGAAAATACAGAATAAATTATTAAATTATTTTTGATTGCACAAATGATATGCTGATTATCATCAAGTTTAATAATTTGTATCCTGAAATTTTTAGACTTTTTGGGAAAATCCATATCTTCGGGGTCAAAAACGCAAAAGACTGGTTGCAAAGAAAAGGGTCAAACGTTCACAGGTATGTGTTATATTTGTTTTTGTGTTAAGATGTTATACGAAAGAAGTATTAAGTATTGCTGAAACTTAAAACTAAAAGCTGATTACGAATATTTACAGCTAGAGTTGTGGATGTTAAGTAGGAAGTTAGATGTTTGATTTTGATCACCATGTTTGTGCTGAAAATCTTGGCAAGATCTTGAAATGACTTCATAAGATTTGTCTTACTGCCTGTTAGTGATAAGATGAAATCTCACTACTTTCTAATCACATATTCCTGTAAGATGTAGTTTAATAAATTGGTTGACATTCGGCAGTTGAAGTTTGTCTTCACCAAAGATATTCCACAACCCAGTTATCAGGCTGTAAGTAAATTTTCTTGCTATTGACAACGCATTTTCTCCAGAAACTTTGATTTTCAGCATTCAGCTGCCCATGGCTGACTAATCATAATGTATAGATCACAAGATTTTCAACACAGTTTTCCACCATATTATTTTATTAGAATTGTCTGAAGCGGTTTTCGCAAGTAGTCAGAGTTGTTCAGAAAAAACTCTCATTGCTGGAAAATGTAGCCAATAAATGAATCAGGAAGTCAAAAGTTTACTAGCACAACCATTGGTCCGACTTCTACTTTATCTCGATTTGAAGTAAATTAGCTGCTCGATACAAATACGTCAGTCTGCATCATGTTTAGAATGATAGTTGATTACTCCTTTATTAAGAAATTTATTCCTTTAAGTTCTAAATGGAACAAAAGGCTTCAAGCCTCTTGAGCTTTGAAGTTTCTGTAGCAGTGGTTTTAATTTTACAGAGTGGAGTTGCTGGTATCATGCCCGACATCTGTTCTTTACTGGTCTATACTATCGAATTAGCGAGGTTTGGGAGTGCGCCGGTTGAGGATCGAACTCCGGCCTACCTGCGTGGATGGCGAGCGTCCTACCGCTAAACCACAGACTCTTCAGTAACTCCACGATAAACATAAAAATGCTTACTCAAATATATATATATACTTATTTATCTAAGCTGTATATATTGTAGTGAAGCTGTAGAACTGTGAAAGGAAGTATAAATGATTTTTGAATATCTTTGTCTTCTGTGATCTGAGTGGTTTAGTTGAAAAGTTTTCACTGTTAAGTTAGCGCCGCAGATGTTGTTTAGAAAAATAATATAAACCTTGCAATTAAATAACTCACTTCATAGAACATATTGACAACAAAGTACTCACCCGAGTTACAACTCCCTTCCGTGATTTCAAGCGTTATCAGTAATCAGTATTGTAGGGTTCGAACCACGGTGGGTGCGTACTGATGAAGAATCCCAACCTATGACGGATGAAACGACTGTCCAGTACTCCCAGGTCTTACAATGGTTCTCTAACTGATGTCAGCTCATGACGAAATCCTCCAGCCAAAAAATATATATATTTTCTTTTCTTCGGTTCACATGGAAAAGACTCCGATTGAATGATTATGGTGACTTTATTTTCACTTTTTACTTTTGGTAAGTATTTAAGTGTTAAAATAGGCAGGTTAACTTTAAAAATAAACTTAGAATCCCATTCACACTTAGTGCTCTACCAGTGAACAACTATACATTTTCACATAAAATCAATAGTTTCACAATTAAATTAGTTTTGTTTTAAATTTTGGATATCAACGGGTAACTTAAAGTGCATCAATAAATGTGTACTTAGTATTCATCCAATGAATAATAATATTATCTATGCTCTTCATTTAAATAAGAGTACAAGTGTATTCCCTGACTCCTGAGGTTTTCCTTTTTGGTACTTAAAGTTTCACATAGATCTGTCTAACAGATGTCAACAAGCATAACTAACATCTAGTTCATGAGCTTCTTATCAAATGATTAATAACACTGATACTTAATTGAAAGAACAGAGAAGATTTGTAGCTCAGGTGGATGATTAGCAATTAGTAGTGTTCTTTGAGCTGGTTGGCTTATTTGCGGAACTAACGTCGTCCTACTTGACAACATCTTCAGCGCGATTTTTAGCATAAAGGGAACTCATTTAAATTTTCCATGAATGATAGAATTGCGTCTCCTGGTAACCATGTTTACATATGTATTGATCATTTTTTGTTGACTTGTTTTTAAACTTTCTCGTCTCCTGATTTGCTTTTTATCAGTTGGTATATTTGGTCTGTATTAACATGTTTTTTAATCTCATATTCGTCTGAGTACCAGGCTTCTAGGAATTCTCTGGCACTTTTGGTGTTTCCTCTGTTAAATATTTTGACATTGTCACAATCATCAAATTGGTGTTCAAAATTATCCACATGTATTGATATGAAAGAATATATATCATGTCTTTATAAAACTAATTTGTGTTCTTGGATTCGGATTCCAAAAGGGGAAGCCCACTTTGGCCGATGTAATGTCTGTTACAGTACATACAACTAACTTTGTAAATGGTATTACTTTTATCTCCTTTTTCTGTTGGATATTTCGGTTTGCACAATATCGAATGAAGTGATTTGACTGGCTTGTGTGATATTTCTATTTCAAACGGTTTCAGTATTCTAGCTGTTATTTCAGAGATATTTTCTACATATGGTAGGATGAATTTTCTAGTAGTCTTTCATGATGGTTTCCTGTTGTTGTTGTTGTGACTCGATTTTAAACACTTTTTGATGAAATTGTGAGGATATCCATTCTTTTTGACGACCGTTAGTAGGTATTTCTCCTCCATTCTGTTCAACGCTGGGGTGCTACAATGTGTTTGAATTCTTTTGAACAATGTCTGCACACAATTTCTTTTGTGGGTAATTTGGTCATATCTATTATAGGTGAACATCTGGCCTGTGTGCGTTGATTTTCCATATACTTGTGTTTCTAAATCTCCTGTGTTATTTATCCTGATTAAGACACCTAAAAATGGGATTTTGTTATCGAATTCTTCTTCTCTGGTGAATTTGATTTCTTCAAATATGTTGTTTGAGCGTCGGTGGCATAGCGGTTAGGACACTCGCCGACCATGCAGCTGGTCTGGGGTTCGATCCCGGCCGACGCACTCCTTTACCTCGCTAAGCCAGAAATAATGCTGGTGAAGAGGAAAGGTTGGGCATGAGGCTAGCAACCTCATCCTGTGAAATAAACACTGCTACAGAAACTTCAAGCCACAAGCTTGGATCCCTATGTTCCACTGGGGAACGTGAAGGAAAAAAAATACGTTGTTTATTAATTTATGGGTATATTCCAAATCATTTCTTTTATTTATTACAAATATATCATCAATGTAACGTACCCATACTTTTGGTTTAATTATAGGTAGAGCTATTAATTCAAGTCTTTGAATGACGGCTTCAGCTATTAATCCTGATATGGGCGATCCCATTGGTGTTCATTTAATATGTTCGTATATTTGAGTATTAAATTGGAAGCATGTTGTAAGACATAATTCTATGAGTTCTATCCAAGTTGAACATTGCGCTTTTATGTGTGAGATAGCTATGAATCACCTTAATGTTATGGGCAGCATTCCTCCCATTTGCATCAATACATTCAGATCAAAGTTTTGCTCAAAACAACGCCACAACTTATTATTTACAGTATAATTAATACACTTTTAAGATGTATCCTTTACAAAGAATCAATTTTTCTTATTATTATTTCACTTAGATATATCGATACAATCCTTATCTTATGGGACAAGTTCATAAAAGCGCAGTGAAGAAAACTGGACCATATAGACCAACGGGAGAAAAATATATGTAGAATTGATAATATATCTATATATATTACATGTATCAGAGATAATTTTCATTTCCTGCAAACTGTGAAACTAGTAGACAGATGACTATGTATAATAATAAAAAAGTAATATAAACTTGTGATATTTCCAGTCTCGAAATATAAAAATGTGCAATATAATGAGTGAATAATAAAATTCTTATTAACTTTCGTTCATTTCAGAATGAATAAAGTAGTTTAAAATTTGACAAGTTTTTCGATAAAATCATGAGCTAAATGAATATGAACATTTTCGAGTAATATCATAAGGAAATGTGGTCACAATACACCCATGAATATTTACTGAGATTTTAGCATAGACTCTTAGAAATTATCTTTTAGATGGGAATAAGAAAATACTGCATATGTTCAATGACATCTGTAGCTCAAATTCTCTAGCATGAATTGTTTTCTAATCTAATATTTTCTTCAATAAGCTCATTCATGAGACTAGACGGGAAGGGAGCTTGCCTGCTGATACTAGCAAGTCATTTACAGGAGATAAGGCGACCCACTGAGTAGGTGGAGTCCTAAGTGACTGGCCAATTTGGTGGAAGATGTGCTCAACTAACCAGTAGGGAAAGGGGATGGCAGAGTGAGGATTTCATTGAGACTAGGATCACGAGTGATATCGGGGGTTGACATGAGACCTGTAAAAGCCTGTCTGTCTGCATACGCAGAGAAGGCGGAATCGAACCTCTCCAACGCTAATCGGTTACACGTTTGAAGCCTGCATCTCGGACCACCGAGGGTCATCTCGGTAGGAAAGATACCGAGGTCCTGGGACCAATCAAATCCCTACAAACCAACACTTAAATATCAGTCATGAAACTTTCTTCATTGGAGTAGATTGATCATGCATAAATATCTATGGCAAGTTTATATGCTTGATTATTTCTGCATTGTGTCCACAATGTGACTGACTAACCTATACACTCAACTTTCAGAAGAAAAATGTAAAAGTGACGTATAGTTGTTAAAATGAGAATCGATTTTAATTCTCAAGCAAACAAACTCAGCTTAGACACTGACTCCGTGATAGTCCCTTGTTGTTGCCTACATTTTACATGGATACTGTTTGTTTCCATCGATTTTCGACTATCTAATCCAGTAAACGTCTCTAAATAAAATGGAATTTTGTTTTAGGCGTTAAAGACTCTCTAACAGGAGTGAATATGAAGTCTAGATTCTGATACTAGCTACTATAAAGTTTCAAAAATGAATATGTGAACCAAATCAGAAGGAGATGAGTGTCATCTCAGTAAGAATTTGTCAACTTTCAGCAATGTCACTTTTTTCTGAGAAACAGACGAGGATGAAATTCGTCCATCATGTAAGGCAAACAGAACAATGTTACTGTGAAAAACTATGTGAAATAGCTTGTCATAAATTAACAGTTATTCGGAGGCGATTTTAAAAAGCTTTTATATACATTGTAGATATATCTGTTTTTTGTCTCCTCACCACTAAACACCTTAGTTGGAACAGATGTTCAACTATGGTGCAGATACGTTTTGCATGATATTCTCTGAAATTTGAGACTGGTGATGGTTCTTTCCAGGATAGTGCTTCATCATTGCCCAGTGTACCGCCGCTTACCAGCCCACCACTGCTGCAACTATAATCAGCTTATCCCCGCTGGAAGATACGAATGCAGGCGTTCCTGGACGTTACTCCAGCAGCCCACCATTTCATCCACGTTCTCAACAACCTGTCAGAGGATGCATTCGCCCATGCACACGCTGCTGGGATCTGTAGTACCAACTCCATGCAAACAAACTGGGAGATTCTAGATCAATGTTTTGACCTGAGGCTGGGCTCTCAACATACCCTATTCCAACTGCTCTCCCGCCGACAACTACCAGGAGAGAGTTTCCTGGAATATCTTCACGCCCTCCAGCTACTGGCAGCTGGACTTGATAATCACGATAGCCCCGGCAGCAGAGGTATCTATACTGATTGCTCATTATTGTTGATGCACGACTTACACTGACCAGTCCCCTTACTAACTGGCTAACAAATCTCTTCCACCGAGTAAACTCTAGTAACTTATTTTCCGCAATTTATGGACTTGAAATACACTGAAGTGAAAATTAATCATAGATTGTTATACGCACTGGTTACTTCATTGAACCTAGACTACAGGATTAAGAATAAACCTATTCGATATGTGTTAATATGTCATTAAAAACAAGATCATTACTTTTTCATCGACACTGAAATTCAACTCATGTGTGTCATTAAGACGGATATGAAGATTAGCAGCGATTTCTCGTGCTTGCACATTTTCTCTGATCTCTTCCACGCTATTAGCAAGTTAAATATCAAACTCAATGCACTGTATCTACTCGTGATTATGACGAAATCCTAGTGTTACAAACATTACTTAATCGAGCAACATGCGTTAAAAGTCTTTATCAGTGTGATGAACTATTATTTAACACTAAATAACGCATAGATTATTGGAAGGGCTGATTTAAAGAAGAGAAGTTAAATGAGAAGCGCACTACATACACACTCAGTGAATAACGCAGTAACCTCTCATCAGTAATCTCTCATCTGTCTGTTTCAGCGTCACCGATACAATTCAGGAAATCAGAACACCAGTGTATGATTGAAATGAATTTTATTGAAAATGATCAGTATTATACATAAAATGAGATGAAAATTTATCTTGAAATCAGCTTCTCTTCATTCATTTGTGACTGCAACATGAACATCCACAAGTGCAACCAGAACACTTACAAGAACCAGCTGGACAATCACAACCTTTGCCTGATTTGCAGCCACCACAGCATTTACAGTCTGAACCACCACAGCCTAAAATGGAAAGCAGTTGTGGATTAATTAAAGTTCATGGAAAAGTTGTTTTGCATTCATGAATGATGGAGGAGTAGAATTAACTTTGTAAGAATGAAAGAAATCGAGCAACTCACCTGGCATAATTTTTCGAATTTAGTAGAAATTGGTTTAATACATAAGGTCGAAAATTGTCTTCTTATATATACATTTTAATTTCAATGCTTGATATGTGAATTAAGCATAGATTTATGAACCAATGAGAATTTAGAAATATTTCACATGTCACTTGTGATTGGCTGAGAGAGATGGACGATTTGCTTGTTTGTTTGGATGATAACAACAAAGAGATGTAATGACTAGTGAATCTTCCCGAAGAATTAACTGTTGATATTTTTTTTCTCAAAGTATATTTAGTTGTCTTGCAGAACATCATGAGAATATGGAGTGTACCATAGCTTTTTTCCTCTTAATTTATCAGATGGAATATGAGAATCATTATTACGGTGAGAAATTTTACTTTTCTTGGGAGTATTACTGAATTTATGAAAGCTAACTGAGTATTGCATAGGAGAATCGGGCATCTGAATGACTGCATTTATTGTTGGATAAATCATATAGACGACCTTTCCAGTAGCTTCCAGCAAACGCACCTTAACCTGTATCAATGAGTAAGAGCAAAATCAGTTTATAATGGTGATTTACAGGACCGTCTTCATTTGTTCTGGTTATTTTGGTTTCCCGAGGTTAATTCAATAGTCATACTTCTGCAAATCATAAATATACTAGTATTTCAAAGACAATGGAATACACGAGGCACATAACATCCTACTTTATAATTCAAAATGTTCTCCTCCTGACTCTCTAGATCCAATGAAGGTGGATTTTTGAATAGCTAATAATAGATATTGACGTGAAATAAACAATTTTGAGGTTATATCGATCTTTTAGATTATCACATTAGTTCGATATTCGCTAGACGTGAACACCTGTGTTGTGTGATGAACATGTCATTTAGCATTTGGGTAGTAGTTCATTAATCTCAAGTTATTAGTGATACACCATAGACACTAATAAATGTCACAAATCGTCCTTTCCATCCTGTTACTTAAAGAACCTCTGATATCTCGTTACAACTGCAGGAAAATCACCTTGGAATCATTCACTAGTGGCTAGAGAGTTAACAGTAATCTGTTAAACTTAAGGTGGTATTCCTTGCAGACTGACACGAGTTGGACAGAATTTCGGGTTGAAGGTATATTACAAATTTGGGAAATTTGGGAATGATAAACACATGAATATCAGTAGAATGAAATAATGTTTACCTAGAGGCATAATGGTGAGCTATGTGTCCCTACTATGTATTTTGGAAGAATTCTAAACCAAAACAAGTCTTTGTTGGATAATATTTGATTCTATTTGGTCCACTGTCTGACTCAATGGAAGTCTATCATATCTTCACATATCCAATATCTTAATATTTCCTTCCCAAGATAGCTGCAGTTTTCACTTAAGAGAGACTCATAATGTGAGAAGTAATTTAGATTTATCCTAGTGATGTACTGATTCTAGAAAGAATCAAAAGGTGCGGGAGGACAACTCATTGCTAATAAATATCAGCGAAACCCATTTTTCTACAGTCTTTAGAAGCTACGTCAGCTGTACTATAAAACCAACTTCCGAGCTATGAAGATATGAAAAATAACAGACTTTAGCAAACAGACTGTTTTTCCGGTGTTGCCGGTGTGATATGTGTTAATGATAATAATTTGTAAGTAGTATAGAGTGTAGAGTCTTTGACAAGTTCACATGAATAAACTAGGAACTTGTTTGCAGTAGTGAAGAAAAAGGTTAGAAATAGCCTATCCATATGAAAGGTATAAAAATGAAGGAAAGAAACCAAATGAAGTTCCAGAAAATGAGAAATTTGAGCAAAAACTGAATCTCTAATGTAAGTTTGTTTTGTATTGTTAATTCTGGGTGCAGGAAACATTAATAAGCTGAACAAGATGGTGTTCTCTATGTTGTTTTTCGAATAGAGCATGCCACAAGTCGCTAACATATTCTCAACAGTAGCTGTACTCAATCGACTAAGAATTGACAAATACCGCCATTCACCAAACCAAGAAAAGGCTTTCTTCTTATCGGGTTTGTATTCTCATACTGAATTGATGTGAATCTCATCT